CAGTCTCCTGTCAATAGTATTTTGCTATTACAAACACTGCTACTTTGAACTGTCTTATAGCTGTGTCTGATGCACACATGTCCAGGCTTACTCCTGGCTGTATACTTAGGGATAGGGCATCAGAGAATTGCAGGGTACACAGGTGTTCAGGCTTAATACTTTGCAAAATTGTTTTCCAAAGTGATTGTACTTGTTTACATGCCAGAAGCAAACAGTACAAGCTTCAAATAACCCATATTCTCTACAACACTTGATGCTATGTCAGTCTTCTCATTCCATCCCCAGCTTTATTGAGGTATAATTTACAAATATGATTCTAACACATTTAAAGTGTTACGAGGGTGAGATGTATGGAGAGAGTAACATGGAAACTTACATTACCATATGTAAAACAGATAGCCAATGGAAATTAGTTGTATGTCCTAGGGAACTCAAACAGGGGCTCTGTACCAAACTAAAGGTATGGGATGGGGAGGAAAATAGGAGGGACGTTCAAGAGGAAGGGGATATATGTATACCTATGGCTGATTCATGTTAAGGTTTGACAGAAAACAACAAAATTCTGAAAGCAATTATCCTTCAATTAAAAAATAAATTTAAAAAAATGCCTACATATATAAAAAAGTGTTACACATACACACTGTGAAATAATTATCACAATCAAGTTAATTAATGCACCCATCACACAGTTACCTTAAAAGAATTTTTTTTTTTGAATTTTTTTTTAAGTCTAGAGGGCCAAATGTTTTTCTGCTATGCTCCTGTACCCTTCAAAAAGGCTTCCAGTCGCCATTCTAATTAAGTTTATTCCCAGTGATAACTATCTATATGTATGGGAATAGCCAAAAGCAGGCATGCTTCACAAGCCTTTTCTTGTGGGGCACATTAAGTATCAGAATAGCCATTACAGACAAGGAGTGACACAGTTTCATCTCTGGATTGGTAGAGACTACATGGAGTACTCAGACAAGGATTCTAAGGCTGTCGGGGCTTAGCAAGAAGCTATGCTGTGCTAGAGATGAGCGGTGTCTGAAATGGAGGATGATTCAGTAGTCATAGTGGCTACTGAACATATGACTCATGGTTAGTGTGTCTGAGGAACTGAATATTTTATTAATTTAAAGTTACACGTGGCTGGTGGCTATTGTAACAGATAGTACTGATCTAAACTCTACTCTGCCTCACCATCATACTGCCTTCAGTCCTAGCAATCATGCCAGGAGGAACGAAGTGAGAAGGAGTGGGGAATCCTGAGAATCCCAAGCAAGAGCACAGCTTCTAGAGTATGATGCGAAAAGGCAACAGTCTCTCTGTTCCCTAGCAGGCCAGGGGTTTAAAGGAACTTGGCTTTCTACTTCACCTGCAAAGGTCAGGGCAAAGAGTTGCAAGGAACCTGCCCAAAACAGGACTATTTCTCTATAAACCTTGGAACTACTTGGCCTTCATGTACTCAGCATTCAACAACTATAATCTTTTAGTTGACATCAGTAATGTCCCCTCTGGAACCTGTTCCATAGTCAGCACCCACAACTGAATTTTGTGGACGGACTAAAAAAACTAACCAAGAGTTCAAAAATAGAAGTCACTTACTGTTGCTGCTTCTTCCAGGGCCTGCTTGTTTCCTCCAAGGGCTTTGAAAAGAACAATTTGCTTGGTTACTAGATTTTAATAATTTAATCAACAAACTATCTTCCCTAATATGACCACTTATCTTACACTGGACCAGATTAAGTCCTTGGTCCAACATTCAGGAGCCTCTACAACCTAGTCTAATCTTTCTCCAAGCTTGACTGTTCCCTTCATGACTTACTACAAGTTCCACTACACCAAAGTGACTGTTATTTCCCAAATGTGCCACTGTCTCTCATGACTCAATGTTCCGATAGTTATTTCTCCTGCGTGAAATAATCCCCTGCACTCTACAAATTTGGAATTCATCTTTCAAAACCCAGCTCAAACCCAAAACTCTGCTTTTCTCTCACAGCAGATTGCTTTGATGTGTTGAGTTAGTTGCTCACTATCATCATATCCAACAACTACTCAAAGCTGTAGAAGTACCCAACCCAGCCTTGAACTGAACTCGAGGACAAAAATAATATCCACAGCCTCTGGCGAAAAATATGTCATCAGTATGTATGGTGTAAATGTGTATTGAATGAAGAGATCTTTGCAAGATTTAGATGTAGAATAAAAACTTAGGTTAGAGTCCTCCTGCTGGAAATGTTGGTAGTATCCTGTTTAACAGCTAAGGACTTTGGAAGCAGAATGCTTACATTCAAATCTGTCACTAATTGGCTAATGAGACTTTGAGCAAAGTAAACAATCTCTGTGCTTTAATCTTGTCATCTACAAAGCAGGAATAAAATCAACAACTAATGTTTGTTATGAGGATGAAATCATGAATATACGGAAAACACTTGGTTTTTCAGTTAACATTGGAAAACACAATGCCTGTCTGGCATAGAAAGCACTATATAAATGTGCTTACTGACCACTACTTTACTCTCTTCTGAAGTACTTATAAATTTAAATATATAATCATGTCCAAATTTTTAGAACAATTCTTCTCTATTAACTTATAAGTTCCTGGAGGCAAGGATAATGTCTATTTTATTTCCCAATGTATCTTCAGCACCAATATTGTGACTAACACATGCTCAATGAATATTTACAGAAATGCACAAATAGATTAATAAATAAAAGAGAAAGTCCAAAAGGATCATTAAATGACATTTATGTGAGCAGAATGTGCATTTCTATCCAGGTAACAGGCTACCTGAAAGTGAAAGTGAAGTCGCTCAGTCGTGTCTGACTCTTTGCAACCCCATGGACTGACTATAGCCTACCAGGCTACTCCATCCATGAGATTTTCCAGGCAAGAATACTGGAGTGGGTTGCCAGCAGGCTACCTAGTGGGTAATTAATCATAAGAAAAAAGTAAAAGTAAGGGTAATCCAACAAAAGGACAGCCTCTTGCATTTCATGGCAAATAGATGGGGAAACAGTGGAAACAGCACCTGACTTTATTTTTCTGGGCTCCAAAATCACTGAAGATGGTGACTGCAGCCACAAAATTAAAAGACACTTACTCCTTGGAAGGAAAGTTATGACCAACCTAGACAGCATATTAAAAAGCAAAGACATTACTTTGCCAACAAAGGTCCATCTAGTCAAGGCTATGTTTTTCCAGTGGTCATGTATGGATGTGAGAGTTGACTATAAAGAAAGCTGAGCGCCGAAGAATTGATCCTTTTGAACTGTGGTGTTGAGAAGACTCTTGAGAGTCCCTTGGACTGCAAGGAGATCCAACCAGTCTATCCTAAAGGAGATCAATCCTGGTTGCTCACGTTGAAGCTGAAACTCCAATACTTTGGCCACCTGATATGAAGAGCTGACTCAGTGGAAAAGACCCTGATGCTGGGAAAGATTGTGGGCAAAAGAAGGGGACGACAGAGGATGAGATGGCTGGATGGCATCACCGACTCAATGGACATGGGTTTGGGTGGACTCCGGGAGTTGTTGATGGACAGGGAGGCCTGGCGTGCTGTGGTTCATGGGGTTGCAAAGAGTCTGACACAACTGAGCGACTGAACTGAACTGAATTGAACTTGCATTTCCTTGTACATTTAACCAGGCGGTAGGGTAGGGAACGGGCTGGGGTTTTCCTCTGGCCAGGAAAACTCTTTGAGTCCTTGCACTTCGCAATTTGTTTGCCCATTTATAAATTGGTGATTTCCATAAGCTGCAGAAAGAGTTGGTTGGAGTTATCCTTCCACTGAGCTCTGGTAACAAACTATTCATTCATTCACTTTCAAATGGATAGATAAAATACCACCCCCCTCAAAAAAAGAGTATTTCATGACACATGAAATCTGAAATCTGTCAAATTCACATTTCAGTGTTTCCACAAATCGATTTCTGTTGGAAAACAGCTATGTCCATTCATTACAGCTGTTTTGGAACTATATTACAGCAAAGTTGAGTAGTTTGGACAGAGAACCTTCTGGCCTACAAAGCCTAAAATAGTTATTATCTTCTCCTTTAGAGAAAACATTTGCCTGCCTGCAGAGGAAGATGAGGGAAAGTGCTAAGAAGAAAAGCAGGGAGGTGAGACAGGGATTGGGGAAGAGTAGGACTGCAATTTCCTCCTAAGGTGATCTTGGAAGACCTCACTGAGAAGATAAAAGCTGCCATGGTAACCACAGAAGGGCTCCAGGCCGAAGCCTGGGGAAAGACCAGGAGCTCTTACCGAAGTATTCGAGCCAGTTCATCTCGCGCAGCGCCTTGGGGAGTCGCAGGATCTCAATGTTGTACAAGTTATCCAACTCTTTGAGGAGGTTCTGCCTGTCTGACTGAATTTGCTTGGATCGCATTTGCACTGCGAGAGGGCAGAGAGGACATGGTATGGGTCACCCAGCGGGCAAAAGGTTCCCGGAATCCCTGCCGCCCGCGTCCCAATCCTCTAGCACCCCGCGACTGCCCCAGGTGACCGCGACCACCCGGGCTTCGCCCCTTACCTTCACGGTCGAAGTCCTTAAGAAAGGAGGCGAGCTTTCGGTTCCGCAGCGCGTTGGTCTTGGCCACCCGACTGCCACCCTTTCTAGACGGAGCCATGGCGCTTCGATGGAGGCTGCAGGGAGCGACGGGCGGAGGCACAAGGCGTCAGCGGCGAGATGGTGAAGGAGAGGGGGCCGCAGGGGGCGGGAAAGGCCCCCCCACGGGGTTTGAATGGGGGCCCCTGCCCTTCCGGGTCCGGGCATAAAGGATTCGCGAGGCACCCACCTGCAGGTTCTGATACCCGGGCTGAGGAAAAACCTGGTTGCTTTAGCTGAGAAGGAGCGGCTCGGGAAGAACGCGACGTGAGACCGCCGCCACCAAATTCAAACTGCCAAAGGCTGACCAATAAAAAGCCGCCGTCTTAGGAGGGTCTCATAACAGCCAATCACAGAGAAGCTGCGCAATCGGGCAGCCAGTCCACACTTAAACTACGGCACCCAGAAGGCATTGCGGCACGACCGACTATTTTCCGCGACTCAGTAGCCACGTCTGGGCATGCGCAGAGAAAGAGCTGAGGCACGCGAGGGTCTTGGAATTTCCTTAAAATTTTATTGCTTTAGTTTTGTTTTCCCGCTGGTTTAGAAGAGCGACCGGAAACCTCAAGTAGAGGAGACAGGATTCTGGTTGCGGAAGCACGGGTTGGCCTGATGAACCTTCAGTCAGAAATTGCCCGAAGCCAAAGAGTAGTCAGAAAAGCCTTCTCGAGGTGAGAAACGAAGGTTCTGCCTTCCGAGAGCCTGGCTGAAGATAAGACTCGCGCTAGAAACACCTGTCGGGAGGGATAGACGGCCCTATATGAGGAAACTTTGTTTCGCTGGACCTCCCCTGAGAACGGAAGTAACTCCCACCCTTGACTCGGTCCTTTCCCAATCGACTTGGGAACCTAATGATATGTGTTTTTTCCTGTTTTTTTTTTTTTTTTTTCACCCCCACAATAGAAGATGACTGAAGATCAGACTTTGCTTGCCGTGCAGGAGGCCCTGAGGAAGTGCTTTCCCGTGGTGCAGGAGCAGCAGGGCTTGTGGCAGAGTGCTCTGAGAGAGTGCCCGCCCCTCCTGGCCTCTCTTAGCAACCTGGCAGAGCAGCTGCAAGCCGCACAGAACCTGCGATTTGAGGATGTGCCCTCACTTCGGGCCTTCCCGGACTTAAAGGAGCGGCTGAGGCGCAAGCAGCTGGCGGCTGGTGACACTATCCTGGACAAGCTAGGAGAGAGGCTGTAAGAGGCACAGTGGCGCTCTTTCTTGGCCTAGAGATGTTAACACTGGATATTTAATAATCTAGGATCAGTGAGAAGAGGGTTTTTCTCCTTACTTAAGAGAATGGTATTCGGGGATGTGTCAACCTTACCCTCTTTCCATCTGTTGCAGTGGGACCTCTCTCTGTCAAAAAGCCATTTTCTGGTGCTTCTCTTAGCTAGGCATGACAGTGGTGGACTTAGTAAAAGTTATCAAAGCAGAACAGAAAAGCAGTGGAGAAAGCTTATTGGCCCTCCACTGTAGTTTTCCTTAGGTAGAAAACAGCAGGAGTTACACTGTAAACTTAGTAGGTGCCAGCAGTAAGGATTCTACATATATTATCTCATAAAATCTTTTCAGCAGCTCTGTGACTTAACCTCACTTAATCCCATTTTTCAGGTAAGGAAACTGAGGCTCACACAAATTGCCTGTGCTCAGGCAGTTAGTAAATAGTAAAGCTGGGATGCTAACCCAACTGTCTCTGGCACTGGGGCCAGAAGCTACTAACCACTGCTTTGTTCTGCTGTACATTGGTGTTTGTGCCAGGAGCAGCACCAATGTTAGGCCCTCTGTCTTAGAGTTATAGGTAATTGGGGATAGAGAAAAGACAGGACACATATGGCCTTCCCTTAACCAGGATGAAAGAAGGTTCTAGTGTGTAGGGTTTGCCATAGACTGATGGGAAACTCAAAGATGGGGGCCTTCTTTGTATTTATCTGTACAAAAAACATTATTAAGAACCTATGGGATGCAAAACACAGGTGCTAGGAATACAGCAGTAAGGCCGGCTTAGTTCCTAAGTTGAGTAAGAGAGTCAATAAGTTAGGTCATTATACATTCTAAGGTAGCGAACTTTTATTTCAATTGATTACATGTTTCTATGTGGGTATTGGGCTGTTATTTTTAGCTTAGTTTTTAATTGTGAGTCACAGTCAAACTTGAAAGCTGCAGTTCTAGGCTAGGGAGTGCCTTGCCCTTTGCGAAGTTGTAGCCTTCGTCTTGGTGGCTGGATCTCTTGGGGTCACCAATGGAATAATAATTTTTAAAATAATTTAAAAATAAATTATATAAAAATAATATAATAAAATTTGCCATAAGCTAGGCACTTCGCTAATGGCTTAATATGCATTATTGCATTTACTCTTCACAACAGTCCTTTTCATTCATTGGACAAATGTTTGTTACTTTGTCTACCAGTCTCAGTGTTTTAGGTACTTAGGATGCACAGTGAACAAAAGAGACTTGTTTTTGTTCGTGATTGAAAATAAGTAACTTTCCTAAGATCCACAATAATCTGTGTGCGTCAAGAGCCCAAATTTTACCCATTCAAGAATTCACTAGGTTGGGGCATGATATAGCATGAGCACAGTACTTCTCTATTGCTGTAGTTCCCTCTTGCTTATTCCTTTCACATATGTGGCATTAGACTATGTGTGAACCTTTCCTCTCCTTTATGGGAGTCCTAGAAAGCCTGCTTGGTCTTTATTGTCTTTGGCAGCTGGGCTCATCACACAGCTTTCGAGAGAGATCACTTCAGGCTCCTCATCTTTAAGTCAATTCTTAATTGTTAAGCCACCCCTCCATCCAAGGCACCTGGGACCAGTAGATCTCCTTTGGAGGCAGTTTTTCCCATTGGGATGTGTGGCAGTATCTGGAGACATTATTGATTGTCACACCTTGAGATGGGTGGGGACATAGATTGCTCTTGTCGTCTAATAGATAGAGGGCAAGGTTGTTGCTGAACAACCTACGAGGCACAGGGCAACCCTCCACCACAAAGAATCATCTGGTCCAAGATGTCCTTGGTACTGAGGTTGAGGAACCTGGCCTTAGGCCTTTCTCATCATATTAACTAATATCAGACTTTTCCCCCCCCAGAACCACCCTCCTCAAGGTGCGTGATGTGGTCAGCAGCCACGTGGAGCGCGTGCTTCAGATCTATGAGCAGCACGCAGACACGATTGGCCTCGATGCTGTCTTACAGGCTTCAGCTGCGAGCCCCTCTGTGGCTGAAATGTTGGAGTGGTTGCAGGACATTGAGAGGCATTATCGGAATTCATATCCTTTGCACACGTTTCACAGAGCTGTTCCAGGAAGTCGTTAATTTCAGTTTTTCGCCAGATTACACAAAAATACATAGTTTAAGTCACTTCTCTTTGGTTCCTGGACTTGGATTCCTGCTGCATTCCTTTGTACAGTCATTCCTCAAATCATTTATTGAGCAGTTGCTACCTTCCAGGCTTTGTTCTAGGTGGTGGGAGATAGGCATTAAAAAAGGGAAAATGTATACAATGTCAGATGATATTAAGTGCCTTGAAGAAAAATAAAGCAGGGAATGGGGAAAGCAAAGGTTAAGGGTGGGCTTGTAATTTTAAGTAGGGTGGTCAGGGCAGGCCTCACTGAGAAAGTGGTTTCTAAGGAAAGACGTGAAGAGGGTGAGGGGAAGAATCATGTGGATGATTGGGGGAAGAGTGTTCCAAGTAGAAGGAGTAGCAAGTGCAAAGGCCCTGAGGTGACAGTGAGCTTGGTCCGTTCAGGAAGTAGCAAGGCAGCCAATAGGGCTCGAGCTGAGTGAAAGGGGGCTGCTCTAACAGGTGATGCTGTCAGGAGACAGGGCTAGGGCTGGTAGGGCCTCCAAGGTCTTTGGAAGGATTTGGGCTTTTCTTCTGAGTGAGACTGTAGAAAGTTTTGAGTAGAGGAGGAGTAATCTGATCAGACTATGCAAAGGACCAGTTAGTTGGAGTCCTCTACCTTTTTCTCTCCAGTCTTGCCTGATAGTCACATCTACTCTCTGGCTGGAGTTTCTACCTTCATTTATTCTTGCCTCTAATTTTGATTTTCAGTTTCCTGCAGCTGCCTCCCAATTGAAATCTCATGGAGAATTGGATGGAGACCCAACCCCACCCCACCCCCCGCCCCCACCCCATTCAGCTCCCTTTTCCTTCAGTTGTAGCGTCAACCCTGTCTGATCACCTAGTCTGTAAACTTGAGGGTTGTCCCCCCATGCCACTGTTTGCTAATGGCATCAGTGGCAGCAGCAGCGTGGGCAGTGAGGGCAGTAGCTGGAGCTGCCCTCACGGAGCACTTACTGTGTGCCAGGGGCTGTTGTAAGGGTGTTTGCATTCCACTGTCAGATCCTTCCATTGTTCCTTGGTGTATCTCAGAGTTTCCTTCTGTATCCCCACTGCCTGTGCCATAGTCTCTCACTTGGACCCTTCATCGCATGCCATCTCTAGGCAGGTTTCTCTGACCCTGGCTTCTTTCCTTAGAAGGAAGAAGCTACCTCCAGGTGGTGGCCACGCTCTACAGATTTATCTTCAGGAAGTCTTGTTCTGATCCTACTGGGTAGGACTTCTCCTTAGCTTTTTGTGTCCCTAGGGTGAGACCCCCCCACATTGGTCTGTGTTTTCTCCCTCCACCTGCCTGCTCAGCTGCTTCGCCTGCCCCTCTACACGCTATTCCATTCTGCACCTCGTTGGAAGATGTACTGACCTGAATCCATTCTGTGCTTCCCCTCTTCTTTGTTTTGGTTGAAGCTCTTCCTACCAGCCGGAATCTTCCTACTATCCTCTGAAGCAGTGGTTCCCCAACCTTCTTGGCACCAGGGAATGGTTTCGTGAAAGTCAGTTTTTCCACAGTCAGGGGTGGGAGGGATGGTTCAGGTGGTGATGTGAGCAGTGGGGAGTGGCAGATGAATCTTCGCTTTCTGGACCACCGCTCACCTCCTCTTGTGAGGCTCAGTTCCTGACAGGCCACAGATGGGTACCAGAGATGGGGGACCCCTACTCTAAGAGGGATGAATTTATCCTCTCAACTTCTGCTGAGTTTTATCTCCTCTCATTTAGAGTCTTTTCAGTTTCTGTTTTGCTTTTTCTCACCATAGTGAGATCACAGTTTGCAGGGGCAGTGTTTCATCCCTTCCCTGTAGCCCAGAACCTTGTGTATAGAGGGGCTCAGTAAAGATCTGCGGCAGAGGTGAGCCTGCCCACCTGGTAAGTGTAATGATAGCTGTGCTTTTGCTCTTCTAGCTCCTAGGAATGCTCTCAAGGGTATTTTCTTCTTTCAGCATATTTCATTGTCTTTTTGAGCACCTTCCTTAACTCCCAGGAAAGTACCTGAAGAGGAAGTACCTCCTGTCCTCAATCCAGTGGGAAGACTTGGGAAACATCCAAGCTTTGCCCAGAGCCTGGGACCGAATCTCAGAAGATGAACACCCGGACCTTGTACGAGGTGCTGGTTTTCATGTAGCCCTTCGTGTCTGCTCCTCTCCTTTCTGTGTCTAGCCTCTATGGAAGCATGAAGAATTTCCCTCTCCTGGTGCCTCTAGCTTTTACAAATCTGGTGTTTTGTGTTTTCTGGAGAGCTGGTATGCCACATGTTCTTTCTCTTCCTGTTCTAGATGTCCTCTTGAATGTTTCCTTCTTCCTGGAAGAGTGAAGAAGCCGTGTGTTTATTGGGAGACTAGGGGGACACAGGTGAAGACCGACATTGCTGCCCTCTGATATGTCTAAAGAAATGTCAGTACGGCGTCCTGACTTACTGGAAGTGTCAGTGCCCAGCGCCTGAGGACTGGCTCTTCAGAGGATTCTGCTGGACATTCCTGATGTTGGGGCTGCTTCATGCTGGGTCAGGGGTGAGGGTACACGGTCACCCCTTGCCCTTTCCTAAGACTCAGGAGAGTGGACAGAGGCAGAGAGGATGCAGGAAAGGTGGTGCAGAAGAACGCCAGGGACAGAAGCAACAGCTACAGAAGTGGTGAGGAAGGAAAGGGCCGGGGTAGAGTGGGCTCCACCCCCAGCATCATCCAAAGCCCTGAGCCTCGTTGACCCCAGGGCCTGGTCTCCTCTCCTTTTGTCAGTACCTGACTCCTTGATGGAAAAAAGTGTGGCTTTGATGATTTAAAGAAGTGGAGGTGATGTTGATGGAAAACTCATTGTTTTCCAGTTGCAACGGCTCCTTATCATCAGGACACTTTCTAGAGTCTTCCACCAGGGGGAGGTGAAGCAGCATGGATTCTGAGTGTTTTGTGTTTGGAGCTGTTCCTTGTTGCTCTTACTGACAGTAAGTAACTGGGGATAGTGGGGCTCTTAAAATAACAGGGTTTTCTTTTTACCAAAGCCAGCAGCCAATTTGCTACAGGCCCCTGATCTTGGAGTAGCTGCATGGATGGGAGGTCACTAGCCCAGAGTCAGGCAATCAGGATTGTGTTTCTGAGACCCAGTGCCTTCAACTGTGAAATGGTCATGGTCCTTGCAGACCTGTCAGCTTCCTGGGCTGGTTAAAAATCTCGGTCAAAGTGAAAATGACTTTTTAAGTTACAGGAATGATGATATGCTTTTTAAGAAATTATAGAAAAATTGTGGAAGACATTTAAAATGTAGAAAAGCATAAAACGAACTCTATCAGATATTTTATATGTATCTTTTCAGCATCCATAGTCACAATTTTCTTAACAAAACAATTTGGGTATCATTGATACATACTGTTTTTCAAATTGTCTTTAAAAAGCACCTTTATATAGTTTGGCTAGTTTTTCATATCTCTCTGAATATAGCTCAACACAATTATATATACCATTCTATGGATTATTATAGTCTTATGTTTTACATGTATTTTTTAAGTCTTCATGTTTTTCTACCTGTGCGTGCATGCTAAGTCGCTTCAGTCGTGTCCAACTCTTTGTGACCCTATGAACTATAGCCTGCCAGGCTCCTTTGTCCATTGGATTCTCTAAGCAAGAATACTGGAGTAGGTTGCCATGCCCTCCTCCAGGGGATCTTCCTGACCCAGGGATTGAACCCGTGTCTCTTGTGGCTCCTGCATTGCAGGTGGATTCTTTATAACTGAGCCACCAAGGAAGCCCATCATGTATATAATAATTGTAAATAATCTTAAGGCCTTTAGGTATTAGGTCTTATGATGTACTCGGGACAGAGGTAAAGGAGAGCCCAGAAAGATTTATAGTTCAACCAGGGAAAGATTTAGTGTTTCTCAAGCTTGAGTTCAGTTTGGTTCAATTGCTCAGTCATGTCCAACTCTTTGCGACCCCATGGACTGCAGCACGCCAGGCTTCCCTGTCCGTCACCAACTCCCAGAGCTTACTCAAACTCATGTCCATTGAGTCAGTGATGCCATCCAACCATCTCATCCTCTGTCATTCCCTTCTCTTCCCGCCTTCAATCTTTCCCAGCATCAGGGTCTTTTCCAGTGGGTCAGTTCTTTGCCATCAGGTGGCCAAAGTATTGGAGTTTCAGCTTCAGCATCAGTCCTTCCAATGAATATTCAGGACTGATTTCCTTTAGGATTGACTGGTTTGATCTTCTTGCAGTCCAAGGGACTCTCAAGAGTCTTTTCCAACACCACCGTTCAAAAGCATCAATTCTTTGGTGCTTAGCTTTCTTTATAGTCCAACTCTCACATCCATACATGACTACCAGAAAAACCATATCTTTGACTCGATGGACTTTTGTCAGCAAAGTAATGTCTCTGCCTTTTAGTATGCTCTCTAGGTTGGTCATAGCTTTTGCTCCAAGGAGCAAGCGTCTGTTAATTTCATGGCTGCAGTCACCATCTGCAGTGATTTTGGAGCCCAAGAAAATAAACTCTGTCACTGTTTCCATTGTTTCCCCATCTATTTACCATGAAGTGATGGGACCGGATGCCGTAATCTTTGTCTTCCAGGCCCTGATGCTGGGAAAGATTGAAGGCAGGAAGAGAAGGGGACGTCAGAGGATGAGATATTGGATGGCATATAAATCACTGATATCTTGTTAAAATTTAGCTTCCTACTCTGTAGGTCCAGGGTGGGGCCTTGGACTCTGCATTTCTAACAAGGTCCCAAGTGATGCTGATGATCCAGGGACCAGACTTTAAGTTGGAGAGATTTACATTGTCATACAATAGTGAAAGTGTATTTGCAGTCAGAACAGTTCTGTGGGAGGATAGAGGTGACAACCAGCTGTTCGGGGGACTGCTGCACAGTGACCGTGACATCTCAGGCAGGCTGCGAGGCTTGGAGAGGAGTGTAGGGTGCTCCACGCCCAGGGACAGTGTGATCACAGGCAGTGTTTGAGAAAGAAGGGAAGCTGACACCTGCTGGGGGTTTGTTGTGTGCGGGCACCGTGCTTGTGGCTTGTACACCCTGGAACTGGAAGCATTGACAGCTGAGTATAACTAGTCACTGGGGTCCACAGGGGGGTGTAAGAGTGGCGGGTAAGGGGTCTGTAAGGGCAGACTGGAATGAATTTGTGAAGAGCCCTGAATACCTTGCTCAAGAGTATGTATTTTGCAGATAGGAGTTGCTCATCTGTGTATGTGTGTGTCTGAGTATAGTGAAGAGCTTGTTAAACCTCCCTCATTTAAACAAGTAATCATGACTGAATAGCTACAAGTATGTTTATGGTGCTAAGTAATAACTATGTATTATTTAGGTATAATTGTTCCTTCTTAGCCATTCTTATGGTATTAAATTGCTATCCTTCTAGTTGTTCTTTTTTGATTTATAATTAATTTGGTTAATTTTTTAAGTAAGTGATATGTTCACATTGTACAAAATTCAAAGGGCACAGGTGCATATTCAGTGAAAAGTTCCCCTCCCCCATTACTCAGGCCACCTCGCTGGAGGCAACCAATGTTAAATGTTTCACGTGTCCTTCTAAAAATATTCTTCACCTCTATGAGCACAGGGGTGGGTACCCTCCAAGATAGCCCCAGTGATCCCAAGGACCCACATCCTTGTATAGTCCCTCCCCCTTCAGTGTGGGCTGCCCTTACAGATTTGCTTCTAATGAACAAAAAACGGTTCAAGTGGTGGGATGTCATTTCTGGAAGTAGGTTGTAGCGAGAGGCTGTGGCTTCCATTGAGGGCGCTGCCCCTCATTCCCTGGGGGGAAGTCCACTGTGAGGCTGGGAGGCAGCCCCATGGCGACCTCATGTGAGAGCTTGATGCTTGCCAGAACCCTGCCAGACCTTCTCCCCAAGTTGAGCCTTTAGATGAGCCCACAGCCCCAGCTAACAGCTGACTGTAATCTCGTGAGGACCTAAGCCAAAGGCATCCCAGCTCAGCTGGGTTGACCCATGGAAACAAGATGTTTAAGTCATTTGAGTTTGGGGGTAATTCGTTTCACAGTGATAGATGACTTATACAAGCAAACACTGTTGTATTTTCTCCATAACTTCCTACAAATAGTAGCATGCTGTATATCCAAGTTTTACACCTTGTTTTTTCCACCTCCTGTATCTTAGAGATCATTCTTCATGAATATGTAAAGGGCTTCCTCAGTTTTTTGTAAGAGCTCCACGGTTCTCTGTTGTGCGAGTATAGCATTATTTAGCCCCTTTGTTGTTGTTAGTTAGTTACTTGAGTTGTGTCCAACTCTTTTGTGACCCCATGGACTATAGCCTGCCAGACTCCTCTGTTCACGGGATTTCCTAGGCAAGAATACTGGAATGGGTTGCCATTTCCTTCTCCACGGGATTTTTCTGACCCAGGGATCGAACCTGCGTCTCATACATTGGCAAGTGGGATGGGGGGGTGCTTTTCTTTTTAACCACTGAGACACCAGGGAAGCCCCATTTAGCCCCCTACTGATGGCCATTTAGGTTGTTTCCAAAGCCTTAACACCTGTTAGATTTTGGCAGCCTTGTCTCTCATTCCCACCACTGCTCATGGTTTTTTCCCCTGGAATTTTCAATTAGCTAATACCCTATCCACTCTCCCACAGTAAAAAAAAAAAAAAAAAAATGATATTTTTACTGGAAGCATATTAAATTTATAAACTAATTTAGGGAGAATCATCATAGTGGGAATCCTAGCTCTCCTCCTCCAACCATGCCACTGGCTCATTGGTTGAGATATCAAATGTGAGTTCTTTTCTCTGTTTCCCTCAGGTGGGGAAATAGGCTTTTGGTGTTCAGAACCCTCTTCCCTGTCGGTGAGACAATCTGTTGGGATGGAATGAAGAATTTGTGTTTCTTTCCTGCCCCTACCCCATCCACCTTTAGCATGGACTTCAAGACTCTTCCCTCAGGCAGAGTAGGGCATCCTGACTTCCCTCAGGATGATGGGGGCTGGGTGCCATCTCTAGCTTGTTCAGGCACTGGGGTGTTTGAAATTCCTTCTCCCTGTCAGAAGGCAGGGAGAGCGCACATTTGGAGGAGCAGATTCAGGGATGTGGGGAACGAAGCTAGGATGCTGACAGCCAGCTCAGGGGAAACCTTGCTGAATTCAGGTGGCCCGGACCAAGGCTCAGGTCAGCCTCTGACCAGCCAGGTGATCTTGGGCAAGTCGTCTCCCCTCCTCTGAGTCTCAGCTTCTTCACCTGTGCCATAAAATAATGGTGTATGTCCTTACCGAGCTAGGCTCAAGCCCAGAAGTGAGGGCTTGTGGGAAATTTACGAACATTGAAGGGGGATGAAATTCACTTGAAACTGATTAGTCACCTACTAAGTGCATAGGGTTATTGGAAAAGGTCCTGACGCTGGAGAAGATTGAGGAGGGCAGGAGGAGAAGGGGACGACAGAGAATGAGATGGTTAGATAGCATCACTGACTCAACAGACGTGAGTTTGAGCAAACTCCGGGAGATAGTGAAGGAGAGAGAAGCCTGCTGTGCCGCAGCCCATGGGATGGCAAAGAGTTGGGTAGGGCTTAGCGACTGAACAACAAACAACAAAAGTGCATAGCTTTGGGCTTTGCCCTTTTAACATCTTCCTCAACCCTTAACAAGAGGTGATACGAGTATGCTTTATGAGATGGTGAATTCCCCAAGTAGCCACAGCTTACCAGTGGCATTGCTAGTATTCGTACCAGGGTTTTCTTGGTTCTGGTGAAAGGGGTCTCTCCTTTACACACGGCTGTTTCCTCTCGGCCACAGAAGGCAGAAGCACCCCCTGACACTTCCTCAGCTGTGACAAGAGTTGGTTTCCCGAATGCCCAGCCGCGCCTGGGACGTGAGTCCTCCAGACGCAGCCATGAGTGCGGCACAGCGCCCATCTGGCTTGGCAGGGCACACGAGGCGGCCAAGGCTCAGGGCGCTGCAACCTTGCCAGTTACCTCCCTTCTGATCCCAGAGCCAGGAGGGCTGGAGCGTGTCCTGGGGCCAGCTGCCAGAGCCTTACACTTGTGCCCCGTATGCCAGGGGCTGGGAGGAGAAGCCAGTCCTTCCAGGCACTCTCCCTCCTCCCCATCGTTCCTGGAAGGCGCCTTCTTGGTTTCTGCCGGGTGCAAAGGAAAGTCACTTTTCCTGAGGCTGGTACCTGGTACAGCGTAGGAGGGTGCCCCAGAGATTCTCATCCAGCACGTGTGGGCAGGGCCAAGGTAGCTGGATCTTCATCAAGAACCCCCTCGTTTTCTTGCGGGGTCATTCTTGAAGAAATAGCCTTAAGCCTAGGAAAAAAGCAGTGTAGAGAGAGCGAGCTGGGTAGGATGGCCACAGAGATTGCACTGCTCGAGGAAAGAAACCAGCCTTAATAGCTTCCTCATTGCGCTGCCTCTTCCCTTTTTGTAGCTGGTCCTCAATTCCAACAGGTACCTCGGCTCTGATCCCCCAACCCCTATGTGCTGTTTGGAGCAAGGTACTAGTCATGTAAGTACACAACACCTTATCTGCCACATCCGTATTCTTTCATTTGGAAGCGTCCCTGCATGCCCAGCACAGAACAAACTGCCGTGACAC